TCCAGTGACCGGGAACATGTGAAGAACACACAGAAAATAGAGATAGACAGAGAGATAGAGAGAGAGTGGATTTCATGATTTAAAATGCCCCGTAGAAAAACTGCGTGCAGCCATTTTAAAAACACAAAGAATTTCAAAGTTGCACCCTGTTTTTTGAAAGACGGCCCAGGCCAGACCCTGGACAGAGCGCCGAGCTACCTGTAGCTTATTGTGGAGACGCCCCCTGACCCCCCTAAACCCCCTAAACCCCCCCTCCCAGCTCTGGGATGGTAGCAGAGTGTCAACAGAGTAGCTGTGGGAAGTCCCTGACCACTGGATCTCTGGGAAAAGGGGAGTGGGAACGTTTCATGTGGATAATCGAGCGGGGAACAACACACAGATGCACATTTGCATTCCATTATAAGTTCAAAGCACATCATGTAAAGTGAAAACAACATAAAATGGCGTGAATCAATTCCTTCCTTCCTTCATTTCCTCCCCACGTTCCTCATTACCGAGGATGTAAAACACACACTGCTCGTTTTACAAAACCAATATTTTGGCTGGACTGTGGTCGCCGTGCCTTATTCTTAAGGCAGTCCCAGGCCTCAAACTCACCACCGACCCATAAAACCCCGAAATCCCCCTCATACATGACTTGTGAGTGAGATTTAAGGGTTTCATCTCACTGTACACACATTGTCTAATTCAATCTGACTCAGCGTATCTCAGCTATTGGAGAAATCAAATAAAAAATGTGAAAAAGGATATTTCTCACGAGTATTTGTTAAAGGAAATCTGGTCCAGTTGGGGGATTTTTTGGGGATATCTTTAAGGCAAAAAGGGAAAAACGTTGACAAATGATAGAGATTCTGCATCTGCAAGCTGCAATCCAAAAGGCACTTGCCATATTTAGGATCCGTCTATTAAAATAAATACATATATAAGCCTTCCCGCTGGTAAATCCTGCAGAAAGCAGATCTGACCGAGTGGTGACCGGATGCAGGAGTCCAGTGAACAAGAAGTCATTGCTACTCAGTTAACACTCCACGTGGCCTTTAAACTCCCCACCGGGTCACTTTTGTGTTTAATGAGTCAAATAAATAGTGGGGATCTCTCTGTGGTCACACTCCCCTCCTTAGCCTATGAGGGGAGGGGGGGGGGGGGGTGGAGGGGGTGCTCATACATTACTAAGAGAAACAAAAGGGAAACTACTGGGAAGTCTGAGCTAAATCAAAATAACTTGTTTTTTTTCTGTGTACTGACCCTCAAAGTCCCGACATTACAATCTTTTAGGCTTACGCTGACCATATAGCCCCCCCCCCCAACCCCCAAAATGTCTGGAGCTGAGTTAGTTTACAACGTACATAAACAAAAGTCTCTATACAGACTCGTTAGCATACAGTGAGATTAGCGCTGCTTAACTCTAACCATGCAGGACTACAGCGATAGGCGGGGGGGGGG